GGCTAAGGAGCCTCTCAACGGAAATTTTCATGAATTCGAATAAGCGAATTAATGATCGAGAATTATGACCCAGTTTACAATAAGTTCTTGAGGCTGAGAGAATGCTGACATAGACGCATCTAATCAGAGGAACTTATGACCCTACAAACAAAACTGCAGAGGAAGCTTAAAGACTGGAATTAATCAATAGAATGGAATATTTCATGCAAAATAGAAACGAAAAAGAAACAAAATGAACGCGATACATTTTTCAAATCTGAATGAAATATGGCGCGGCACACATTACGTCCACGGCGCGCGCGGAGACGCAACAAAGAGTTCATAATTCATACGCGATGCACGTTATTATTTTTCACTAAATACGAGCCGCGCAATCTCCCAGCGTGCAGTCCTCTCTTCTTGGTGCGCATCCACTCCATCCGTTTTGTACATAAAAAAATCTATATGTGAATGCTGGGTTCCCGCCGGCTTTTAGTCGGTTTCCTCTTCCTTTCGGACGCACACTGGCTTTTTACGATGGCTTTTATTTTTAATTTCGATTTTACTTTGATGTACTTGTGGACGTTCGAGTAATATTAATATAAATCCACAAGTTATGAATGTAATGCCCAGTTGGGTGATGTGTATGTGATACTTGTACTAAAAAGTGAAAAAAATCAACGCGTTTTGCATTATTCATTATGCAGTCTGAAGATGTGGCGCATTGGTATCGTCGTTTTTGCGCTGTTGCCGTGTTGCATGCCAAGCCCTGAGTTTTATTGTATTATAAACGAGCCAATATATTATTCGCCTTTTTGAGGCTCCCAGGGCTCCACGGCGACGAAATAAATGGAAATTTAAAATCGTAAATCACTCCTGAAGCGAAGAGATCCCAGAGTTCATGGTGTTTCACTGTTTCAGCGACAGCGTGGACACTCTTCGCGCTTGCACAATTAATTCGTTTACGTTATATTTTTTGTTTTCTTTCTCTGCGTCAGAGCTTGATTGGAATTCCGATTGGATTCCTATGGGAAAGTTCTTTTCTATTTCTGGCTCAACGATAAATTAGATTATGTGTATATAATATGGCAGGCAGTCGGCCATAAATATAAATTTGTGGCGATTACCATGCCGTGGATATCGAACACGCATCTGGGCACGAGCAATTTCCGTTTGGTTCGCACGTTCATTGCGGCGTAATAAGGTAGGAAAAGTCGGGTGGAAATTGCACTGAAATTAATTACCGCCGACGGCGTCCGCTGGGAGAAGGTGAAAAATCCTCCATGCTGACAATGACACGAAATCGATTCCTTCATTTGCAATTGCAGAATTGCACACAGTCCTGTGTTATTATGTGGAAGGAGCCGAAGTAACATCGGCGAAATAAAAGACCACCGAAATCGTTATTACGCGCAATTTACCTTGAGCCCGAAATTACCAATCCTACCGTCTGCAATGACTACACCAACAACAACACCACTGCAGTGGTTTGAAGCTGGAGCCAACAGAAATGTGCGCTTACGATCTTTGGGATTGCTTCGGCTCGGCTAATTTCATTATTACGTCCTCGCCACATGAATACTCATTGGACTTTCAAACACAAGATTTGGATTCGTGAATATTCAGTGCATACCGATGGTATTCAGGTAGAAGAGCTGGTATTGGAAACCACTAGAGCCGATAAAAATTTTAGCTTGTTCAGTGCTTTCATGCCCCTTTTGGGCACACGTAGGTAGTAATGAGTTGGGTTTTGTTGGGGTTTTACGCGGGTTGGGATAAACGTTAAACCCGCATAATGAACGAAGACCTTCTCGACAAGCACCCGTGTTCTGCAAATGTTCCACCGCAGGAAAAGCGCTCATTAAAAAAGGATTTTCCCATTTCCCATTGCTTGTCTCTCTAACTGGACGTTTTTAATCTTCTCTATGCGTAGGAGATACTGAAATGGATTTGAATCGTTACACTCGCAATAGATCAAAATTGATCGTTCAATTGGTGGCATCCTGAAGGATGGAAACCAATCAACCTGAAAGCACACAAGTGCTTCAATGTTCAAAGAGTCAACAACGCAACAAAAGAATGCAGCCATGAAGAAGACGCCGACCGAAACTATTTCCAACAATTACGGTAATGATTCCCGATCGAGCGTTTCTCATTTTTCCATCGGCTGGCACGGCTGCTTTCGAATTGCGAATCGCAAGTGGAACTCGAGCTTTCGAGTTGTTGCTCGACGCGGAACGCCGAATGCTCGAGGCTTCCAACGGGCGAGTAATTAAAGAACCTCGGACGCAGAGACAAAGCTACTGCTTGCACGGCTACCTCCTTGCGCAGCGATGCCAAGCGCGTCCGGATTAATTAAACGCAATAATAATAAAAATAAGCAGTCGGCAACTGCAGGCGAAGAGCAAGAAACCGCGAACAGCGCAAGAAAATCATTACGAAATATTTCTCCCACAGGGTGTACCATCAAGTTCAATTGCAAGATACAGATGTTTGAATTCAACTCGCGGCATCTTGAAATCAATTGGTTTTGGGCATGAATTTCCAGTAGTCTGATGATTATCGCTGTGTTTTATATTTATATTGAAGCCCGTTTGCTTGAGGTTGTTGGGAGATTTGTGCGTTGTGCCAGTTTGCAATCGTTCGCCGGGTCGTCTTCATCTTCATTCTTTCATTCTTCGCCCCGCACGATTAAAGATAAAAACGCGCGGCATAATTCCGCCGCTTCGTCTGTCGGCGACTTTCCTCTCGTGTGCACCGCCGCCTCATTCCTTCGCGCACGTCTGAGGAAAAAATCAATTTGGCTCGTCGTGCGTTGCGACCAAGCAAAGAATTCGAAGCATTGCATTTGCGTCCGCCGAAAGAATGGTGAACGCGAGTGGAAGAGGCGCGTAATTACTGATTTACATCTGTACCGATTCGGATTCCTCGGTGCCATTTCTTCGGAGTCGTTCAGCGCCTTTGTTTTCCTCCACGGCGGACATAAACACCCGCTAATACGAGCTCGCTGAGGGCAGGAATTTCATCGAAGGTTTGTATTCCATGCTTAGCAAGAGCTCTCGGGTTCCCAACGCGGTGGTCGTTTCGATAATACACATAATCGGTCGATTATATACCCCGTTCGATGCCGGGTATTATCTCTATGTATATAGAAAAAGAACAACAACGAAGCAACGAGCGAAAAAAGATTATGGTGGAATATTCAATCTTGGTTACAATGTGAGCAAACAAAGCCGAAGCAATCGAGCGTTTTATTGTATGGATGATGAGTGATCCCACGAGAAAAACGAGCTACAAGATCTCACAAACAAGGCGAAATCAACAGATTGCAGGAAGTTGCAGAAAACGACAGTTTTCCATCCACGTGCAGGAAAAATGAAGCAATTTGAATCCAATTGAACGCCTTTGCTTGAATAGCAATTTTCTGCGGACACACAACTAGTTGAAGGTGTTTAGCAAGAAAATGACCAACGGTTGAAAACTCGGAAAGCGTTTTGTTGTTCGTGGAGGCTTCTTGCGTTGAGAGGAGAAGCCGCCAGCCGCCACAAAGTAGCAGCGACAAGATTCCGATCTAAATGCCTCGCATTAGCATACGGCGGCCATAAAATACGTCGTGGCGTAATAAAGAATTGAGCGTGTTATTACGGACGGCCGGGACGCGCAATGTATGTAGATGTGTCGGGGCTCGCGCAATGCAACGCGCCGTCATGCTGGGGGTTTTTGTTCGCCGGGTTCGCATGCGTTGCATGACGAACGCACAATGAACGCAATAAATGCGCCGAGGTGAGGCAAATCAAACAACGCATGCATCGAAGAAAGGCACACCAGTAAGCCGAACCTCTTGCAACTGATCATGCAAGCCAGGGGATTATTTGTCTTGTCGGCTTGTTAAAATGTGATTAATCAAGTATCAAGTATCCAGTCCCTTCAGAAGTTCAAAGCAAACAATGCCAAACATACGAACAGGTTCTGTGAGCTTGTGCAATTTTATAAAGTATTCTTAGATTTTGGATTTTCGCGGGCCTCAGGTGACCTATGCAAAATCATGTTTCTATCCAGGTGAAGCAACACAAAGTGCTTTATTCTGCTGGGAAATTACGCTGAGATGCGGAGACACCAGTCGTTTCCAAGTCCCAATCTCCAAGCAGAATGTTTGTCCGTTGTCTTATTGTGCCACGAAAGTTTCGGCTGCGTCGAAAAGTTATTTCACACAGCAACACCTCCACGGGTCCCAGGCACAGGTCCAAACATTTTAATACCGAACAATACGAACGTAAGAAACTTATAAAAATAAGAATGAGAGACCCAAAGCAAGAGGAGCAAAAAGTTGACGCGATTATCTCCCCGGAATATCACATAAATTACTATAAACACTAGTTTTATGCCTTATAGCTTTAATGCTTCGTTGCTGCCTCGGCTGAACACAAACAAACCGAGCGTTGGGTATACGTTTACCATGCGGGCATTGGAATTGTCGTCATTGCTTTGGTTCCTCTGCGACGCAACCGAAGAGTTAAAGTTGGAGATTGGATTTGAACTCTGGTGGACCGGTTGCTCGAGCGAATTGATTCTTCTGCTCTAAAGAAGCAGAGGAGAAGGAAGAAACAATGATGCTGCGGTTGGAACGCATACGAGCATACAATATGCACGCGTTCCGCCGCTTGTTTTAATGTTTTATGATGGTTTATAAAGCAACAAGAGGTATGCTAATACGCTCCGCGCATTAACATAACAAGTTCCATAATACTATTTCATCTTTACGGATGACACATTCGAAGATAAAAACAACGCGGCTTTTTGTTCCTCTTCGTCTCCTCGTTGGCATGTTGGCATCTTTATATCCTTTGTCTTTGGACATGAAAAAAACCTTCGCAAGGCCCATGAAGACCTTCATGATTCTTCTGATTATTTCGTTGTTTTCATAATGAATGGTAATCAAAATGCGCATATGTGAACGCATGCAGAATACAAATTCGGAATTCAAAATTCATAGGATGCGACTAATGGCGAGTAAGACTTACTTGGAAATAGACTTGTCCTTGGTCAACCCATCCGATGATCATGTCGGCGCCGGCCATGCGGCCGTCCTTGGAGAAACCAAAGCCGACATAGCCGAGCGTGCGCACCTGCAGCTCGAACGTGATGTCCTGCGGGCTGGGGCCGAGCGACCACAGCAGGCGGTAATCGGGCGACAGCATGGCCGAGTGTGACCAGCGCGCCCCCTGCACGCAGCCGCAAAGCAACGCGCACGCGCACAACACTGATAGCACTAGCGACGCCATCTTAACTTTTGCTTTCGATTCACACGACTGGCAAGACGCTTCACACTATTCCAACATTATTTCTGCAAACAGACACAAATAAAACATAAATTAATATTAAGACATTATAACACGCGAAATAAAAGTTTGCTCCAGTTTACACCGTAATTGAAAACTTCGCATGCTCCATCATTCGCAAGGCGGAAATTCTCATAATTGAGATTCACGTGAAATACAACTTTGCGTGATGAAAGTTTCTAAAATGTTATTATTATTAATTCTGCAACTACACACGAAAGGTGATGTTTAAATTTTCCGCCCCCTCACCTGTCATATTGATTTGAGGTTTGGTCGTAATTATTTTTTGCTAAACGAAGATTAATAAACTGTCTGCGTGGTCAAATAAAGTTAATTTACGACCTGAAAACTATGATTATGGTCTGGGCCTGTAAAATGCAGGCGAAAAAAAATTGATGTCGATCGTAAAACAGGACGATTTCCGAGAGGTTAATAAGACATCTGTTTGTCTCGTAAATTTCAGCAAAATGACCAGCGCGGACATGAAATACGATTTTTATAATGGCGATAAATTGCCATTTTTCGCACAGTCAACGAGAAGGTGTTGCTTTGGCCTTTTTGCTCACTTCTATGCGCATTACATAATGCGCTCGTAACCGAGCGGATTGTGCAAAGTGTAACCACACAAAACGCGCGCGTTAAAAGGCTTTTATTACGCAATAATAGTTCGCTTGTTTAGCGCGATCGTGTGTAGTGTGAGAATGCGTTCGAGCAATTCAATCGCTTGCATTTTCTATATCGAAAAAGGCATTGCACGTCGTCGATTTAGCAGTCAAATAAAACGTCGACGGTGTTTAGCATTAGCCGGCACTCGGTGCGTCGTGCGCGTATTATTGGTAATAATCAATAAGACCGTAGATGGCAAAGAAGAGAAAGTCGCGCAACATCTGGTCGAAGATCTCGCGCTCTCGCCCGCGCCAAAGTAAAAGAAGTGTAAATCGCTGCGTTTAAAGTGTGTTTCCTAACGAGGCTGGTTGTTTTCGTGAAAAGCGGCTCACGTAATGCGCAATTGAACAATTTTAGAAGGTGATAATCCAAACAAGCATCTCATGTTCGGCTCAATACAAAGCACCAACATGCCAACAGATTTCTCCTTTTTTGGGCGCAGAAACGTCCAAACATCAACTATCCACCGATCAATCGCTTTAATACTTTTTAGGACACGTCAATTACTTGATTGTCGATTAATTACCAACTTGTTCACCTATCCAGCGTCTAAAAATGGTGAAGTGATGACTAGACACACGAGAAATACAAAATTCTCGAAAATATTAAAATTCTTCGTTGGATGTGCAACGTAGAATGGCGTTAATAGGGCGTGCAATTTCAATAACTCAGAGGGAATTACTACACTAGCCGTTTCTGTCGGTTCGGCGAGTGATAATATTCAAAGTAGGGCAAACGAAGGAAAAAGGGGTAAAAACGTAAAATATGCGCAGTTTAACAAGACGCGGAAAAGCAGAGGTGAAAATAGACGACGTTTAAGCGGCAAACACTGAGAACAGCAGAAAACTGAGAGAACTGATAATGGCCACGAGTAAGATACGACCCGGAAGAAACGGAATGAAATGCAAGAAAATCTCAAGTACGGGATGAAGTAGGAAAGGCTCGGCCAAGTTGTGTGAGGAAATCTTTTTCGGAGAAAGCAAATCTCGGTCCTTTCATTACTCTTGTGCGCGGCGAGTTAAAATATTGCAACGTTTGCACAATCTATGGCGGGCGCACTCGGACGAGATCTGAAAATTGGAGCAAAATTGGACGAAATTTACGAGTTGAAGCACTCGCTCTTGTTAATAAATTAATTTATTAATGAACTTGACAACTTGACAACTACGAACTCAAAAGTTGGAATTTTAATTACGCGCCAGATTAGAATTAGGATTCGGGCCGAAATTCCCACCAAAAAAAAATAAACATTAAGTTTACAAGAAATGAGCTAAATACACATATTTTTCATGTTTCATGTTTTATCAGATAAACGTAGTGAACTTGTACCGCGAGTACTTTAACTAAGTATTTCTAAGAAGTTGTGTGATGTGATGAAAAAGTTTGTTAAAACACCAAACGCCACGAACGCGTTTATTTCGTTGCATTTAACGTCGTCACGTTCGTTCGTTCCGCGCGTTCCGTTATTGTGGATCATAAAATCCTCCGGAAAACACTCGACGCTCACGCGGACGAAAGGCGTTCATTATGTAACGCCTCATTAGCGTCGTAATTAAATTAACGCCACCGAATAGATGAAGAATTCGGACGAACAAGATGATTAAAATCATGCGTTTTGTACACGGAAGCAACAGAATAAAAATAAAACAACAAGAAGGATGAAAAAAGCGAGGAGCGTTTAATGAGAAAATGCAAAAAAGTCGAAAACATTTTCACGGTTGGCATGATGAATTTCTTCGCATGAAATTTTAAACATTTTTGCCCGCGGACTTAAAGCGAGTATAAGTTTCGAGTTGAACGTCGAGTTGGAGCACAAAAGAATGTGGAAAATTAAGTCCTCTTTACAAGTAAACTTATTAAAGTTACAATATGATGAGAGCCCCTATTAAGACGCGGATAAAAAGTCGTTTTCAAGACGAGGCTAGACGCGGCCGAAGCTTAAAAAAAGCAACTGAACAAAGTCGACGCATGTGTAACAAAGTAGAAAAGTACCAAAACCAATTTCAAATTGTATGCAAATCAATTGCCCATATCGATATAAAACGCTAATCCGTGACTCTTTTCGAGAGCGGCGGGCGCATAAAAAGCGCCTTATAAGTCCAAAGCCATCCAAAGCGTTCATTCCTACGATATTACCATCTACAGAGTGTTTCAAGATTAACTCCACGCTCCTCAATCCGCTAGAAAAATAAAGATATTGATTTTTTCCATTTCATACTCTGGGCTGTGGACTGCAGGTCGAAACAGTTCTCTGGATTTTTCGGTTCGTTATGCAGCTTCTATACTGACCCATAAAGAGTAAAAAAGCACCGAACACAAGAGAAAATCCTTCAGAAGCATGTACACAAACGACAATAAAAAAAAACATCTCATTTCATGCCTGTTAAAGGATGAATTCCAATGGAAAATCGTTTTTCTCTTCGATTCTCGTTAATTTTCACAATGCAACACGATAACATGCTAACACGCCAACAATCGCCATCATTCGTGGAAGGAAAATTCAATCAACAAACAAATTTATTTTTTCACGCGCCCTACAAAAATCTCATTTCGACATCGATTAAGCGACTTGTGAACTTTTGTTTGTCCAACACTCGAATGGTAATTTAGTAAAACACTATTACCGGATTAGTCATTGACATTTAAGACGAGTTTTCGGACACAACTAGACCACGACTTTTATTTGGCGCCTTTCGACTCACAAAATTGCCGACATGCTAGATATATTTTATGGCGGTCAATAAAAACCTCGAAGCAAACACATCAAACACACCAAAACCGTTCGCATAAATCATTCCGATTTCAAGCGAAATGAACCACTCAACCATGAACGTGAATGTATAAATATAGCCTTTCGAAGAGGACTACTGGAACACAATTCTCAATCTTGACTTGTAGGCAAACTCGAAGAAGCATACATAATCGCTTGGAACGTGACAAAATATGAAATCGTTCGTCGCCGTTCTTTCATTTGCATAATTCGTCGACACGTTTTTATATTTGTATCCGTCAACAACGAAACGAAACTCTTTTGGTCATCATACCAATGACAGCTTTGGTTGTATCAAGGAATTCAACAGAGCAAGAATAATTAATTCGAATTTCATCCGGCGACTTCTGTTTCTCAAAATTACAGTCACACTTTTCACACTCGGATTGAATTTCTGAAACGGGAGTCATGTCTACAATGTGCACGACGTATTCGTATTCGATTACGTTTACTCACAATACGAGTATGTAGCAGCTATCAGGAATGCGATAACGTTTATTTAATTTAGACGCAAATAAAGACTAACAAGAGCACAAAGGAATTGGTTATCAAGTGTATCGAGATAACAAATTATTCTAAGAAGTATAATAAAGTAATGATGTGAACCGAATTAGTTTAGTTAGTGAATTCTTACAAATCTGACAAGAATTTAAATGTTCGGAATTTTGTTCTGTTTGTGGAATCCTAGCATCTTTCATCTTGAAATTGGTGTACTTATAGCAAGAAAAATAGTAGGAAAAAATTTGGAAGCTTCCGAGCGGTTGAAAGTCATTTTTCTTTATTGGATTCCATTGATCCGAGAGCGGCAGAACGCCAGCCAGTCAGAAAACCTAGAAGTGAACGCGCGCGCTTATGGAAATTCTCCGAATTCGAACACCACCAACACAAACGAGCACTAATTCGAGATCTGATGCCCGAGCATTCGGGAACTAATTGGAAAATTTCCATATTCAAACGAAACCCAAGAAATTCAAAACTCTAAATCAACTGGAAAAGGAAATCAATGCAAGAAGAAGAAAAAAAAACGACCAAAAACAAATTTTAAGTCTAATTAACCAAATTACAAGCTTTGAGAATTTTCTAAGGTTTCATAGAAATGTGATGACAATTTAAACTAAAGATTACAACATAGCTTCTTTTTGTGGCTGGTTGAAATTTAATACTTGAGTAATAAACAAGTGTTCGTTACAAATTCTTGATACACACCAGAAGGAATGAGAAACAAGAGGAAACAAGTGTTTGTGTGCTAGTTTTGCTTTTTTTCAATGTTCTATAGTAGATAGCAGGTCTGCAATTCGATACAAGACCAAGTTTTTGTGTCGAATGCTCCTCCCAACAAACCGACGATAAATTAAACGGTAGCTAACTGAATTCTGGCTGCTATGCTACCGTTTGCTTTGATACAAATCGACAATCGATCAAATATATCAGGAGAGAAAAAATTACATCATGGGAACAAGTTTTAAATATTTTTTAAGTCTTGATATCTAAATGGAGTTGACAAGTGACAAGTGACATTTTCTTTGTGCGAATGTTTGTTTGCGTTTGCGTACGGTCTGAAGTTCCTCC